TAAAGCGATTTTTTCTGTGCATTTGAGAGCCGCATTTGTGAGTAGTGTTGCTTTGATATCAAGCGGGATTCCTGTGTTGTGTACACGCCCGGACGGACGGAAGTGACGTCAGCCAAATCATGAAAAATCAACTCGATGGTTTACCATTTTTTTCTTAAGTATGGGGCTCCCCTCGAGCGGGAGCTCCGCTAAGATCTTTGTAAATTTAGTGTTCGGAAGCCAAGCCAAAGAAAACTTGCCAAGTCTAGTGGGATTGGTTGAATTAAAGCACGCAAGGCGCCGTTAATTGGTTTGCTATTTTAGAGCATTTTAAAATGCATCCATCATTTGTTGCAATCCCTACCTCCAGAACAAATAGAGTAGAATACCAGGTGCGGTGGTTATCATACACAGAATTCTCCAGTCTCTTATGAAGTAAGCTAACAGTACAAAAATGAAATATCCAGCAGACCAATACAGCCAGATGACATTCCCAGCCATCGTACGAGCCTTTGGACCGACTATTTCCATGACGTAGATATATAGGGATAAAATGAGTCCTATGAGACCAAAGCCCACGACAAACCACAGGACAGCCATGAGGGGAACACTGTTGGAGAACGAGGATGAAAATCCACCGAAGACCTTGGCAATAGGAAAATTCAATTGATATGCATAACAGTGGAGTATTTTTAGGATGGCGGATAAAAACAAATCTGCTTTGCAGCATTTCTAGACCTTATACGAGAAGGAACCGCGGGACCCAAAATGGATATTTTGGGGGGGGGGGGGGTAGCATGGGTAGCGTACGCTGCTAACGCGTCGTACGTCTTTCACCGCTATGAGTCCAACAGGTGGGGTCGCTGGTTCGAGCCCTGCTGTCGCCACATGGGGATCAAGTTTGTTTGATGTGTTGAGGATTTTCTTCGGTTTCCTCCCTTCGTAAAAATCAACATGTGAGTTGAGCGTTTTGTGCATAGAATATTGAATTTAGTGGTAGTGTGTGTGAGTGAAAAGTGTCTTTAATTAGTGCGAAAGCGCTAGCACGAGTAGACTCTTTAGACTCTAGAGATTACTGTGTTAGAGTATTGAATAATGGTCTCCTTACGCAGTCCTTGATGTGTCACAATAACACATCAAAGGTTTTCAAGAAACCTACCATGATACCATTGAATATGAAGATGCATTTTTTTCTTCCAAAAGCATCGGAAACCATGCCAGATAAGATAGCGCCAATGAGCATGCCAACAAACATACAGGTTTGGATTGCTGCATTGAGACTTGCATCATCACAGATAAGATTCCACTGCAAAAGAGAAAGAATCTAAAGTGAGAAAGCACAGTTCCTAGTATGTTTGTCGACGCTTACCATTTGTTATCGATAATTATCATATAGTTAGGATAGCCCGTGCGCGCTGATTGGTCGAAGACTGTGCTTTATTATAGTGAACGGAGCACAGTGCTTACGCCATCCGCGCGCGCGAAATGCTGCTACATCCTGCAACCGTCTTTCTTTTTGCGAAAGTAAATTCAATACAAATGAAATTAGTGACTATATCATAAAACAAACAAAACAGCTTTTTTCCGTGGTCCATTCAGTAATAAAGCACTTAGGAAGTGACGTAAGCACTCAATAAGTGCTTCTCCCTACGCTTCTTTCGTGCTTACGTTACTTCCTGCGTGCTTTATTACTGAACGGAGCGCGGAAAAACCTGTTTTATTTGTTAATTAATGCACAAGTATATATGTTAGATACCTCAGTAACCGTGCTGGTGAAGGCCTTATCGAAGCTGTATGACGTACAGTTGTCACAGCACGTACTCTGGGGACATGTTATGTTTGATGTGTTGCATTGGAAGGATGGGGCAGCAAACCCAAAGACTAGCATACCAAACGGAAATGCCATCAATAAAACCAGAATGCAAGAGCCAAAATAAATGGCTTTTTGGTATCTACCAAACGAGTTGACCAGCTGAAAGACATCGTCAAACTCAACGGAGGAACTGGAAGAGTTCTTATCCTATTAATAGATACAAGGAAAAATGAACCTTTAGTCACACTATACCATCAATTGTTTCGGCAAAATCATTCCGCTGCCCTGTACCAAGAGAAGTAGAGGAGAGGAGATCCTCATTTCACCTAAAACGCCATTATAACTGAGCGGCCCAAATGTAATAAATATTTGTTTGATTACAATCAGTGATTCAGACCGCCATAAATTTAGTTTGATATTGCCTGTTGATCACCATTGCAAGTCGTTCCGGCCCCTATTTTCATACATAAAGCAAAGGTGCTCACTGTCTCACAAGCCCGAGCAAACACTCCAAGAGCATATAGCTTTCGTATATTCTTTTTCGATATGTGACTCGGAAATAGAGGATATTACATGACCGCTTGGAGATACGGATTTTATCTTTGAATGTTAAGGTAATATTTTTACGCCGGAGTGAGCGCAACAAAGGGCAAGATATCCTCAATACTCAATACTTCACTGGCTATGGAAAGACTTTGCTCATCAACTTGCACCTGTAATAACTAGGATTTTAAATCATTCACTTAGTAACCACACAGTCCCATCTCCATGGAAGACCGCTAATATCAGACCAGTCCCAAACAAAGCGCCGTTTACAACACGTAACCAACTGAGACCGATTTCTCTTGCCAACATTATCATGAGACTTTTTGAGAGACTGGTCTTAAAACAAGAGATATCTAATACTTTCAAATCCATCATTAAAAACCGATCAGTTTGCATTCAAGGAAGGACGTAATACTACTATTAAGATCTCAGCACTACTGGCTCAAAGCATTAGACGGAGAGGCGGACTACGTACAAGTTTTGTCATTTGATTTTAGCAAAGCGTTTGATACTGTTCCTCACAAGATTACCATCGAAAAGCTCAAACCTACTAACCTCAACCCATATATCATCAACTGGGTTATAAGTTCCTTGAGCAATCGTAAGCACAGGGTTGTGGTTGACGGACTTACAACCAACTATGTGTACACAAACAGAGGAGTACCTCATGGTACGGTCCTAGGACCAACCTGTAGTATCTCATTTATAGTGACGTCATTGCCCTGACATGCGGGATACTCAACCTCATGTAAAGTAGCATAATGGCCGACTAACCATGTGCTTCATGTTGTATTGAATAAAGCAATTGTTAAACCATTTTCTGACTCGAAGTTACAACACAACCCTCTTCTCGTTGATGGCTAATGACATCTGTACAGCTGACCCAAGAAACAACTTGCTAGTAAAGTATGCTGACGATATCACAGTGACTTGCCCCGGTCTGAACTACACAACATCGCAAGCTGGGCAAAAAATAACCAAGTGAGCCTTAACTTGACTAAGACATGCGGGATGGTCATTCACGGCAACACATTGAAGCCTATGCCGCAACCCTTCAAGACATCAAAAGGAAAGAATCTCTTAGACTACTTGGTATAACCTTCCAGAGCAAGCCAACATCGCGGAACGTATATTCACATCGATAATTTGCTATCTAGAGCTTCTAGTCGATTATATATCATCACGAACTGTAAAGCCTACGGATACCCCCCTAAGCAACTAGCACAACTATTTGATTCACTGATTGGATCACTTTTTACATACGGAACACAAGTCTGGGGGGCAGCGTCCCATCATAAAGATCATGAAGGAATTGACAGGTTTTTCAAGCGATCAGCTAAATTTAGATACACCAACAGAAAGATTACCATCTCAGAACTTAAAAGTCAACATGATTACAAGCTGTTCAAAGAAATCGGTACAAATGAAAAACACGAGATCGAAAGCACAACTTTATCATTAAAAATTTCTTCATAAATAGGTATCTTTTCAATCAAAGTGTTTTATAATATTCGTACAGCTATATTTATATTCTATTTATATTTTACATTTTTGTAACAATTTCAAGTTTGTTGAATTTGCCTTAATAAAGATTCATTCATTCATTCATTCA